CCATGGGACAAGAGGAAACGGCCTCAAGTTGCCCCAGGGGAGGTTGAGGATGGAGCTTGGGAAGAATTTCTTCCTGGAAAGGGTTGTGAAGCCTTGGCAGAGGCTGCCCAGGGCAGTGGTGGAGTCACCATCCCTGGAGGGATTTGGGAGCCGGGCAGAGGTGGTGCTGAGGGACATGGGTCAGTGGTGGGTTGGTCAGTGGTGGGTTGATGGTTGGACTCCGTGGTCTGAAAGGTCCCTTCCAATGCTTACTTGATTTGAGCAACAAAAGGTAAATTTAAGGCCATCCCATTTCCCAGAGCAGAGAGACCCCTGGGATCAGGGCTCCAGGGAAGCCACCACTCTCCTTGCTCCCTGAAGCACCTCTTGGCACAGTGAGGACGTTTCCTCTTGTCCCATGGGCTGTTCCTTGGGAGAAGAGACCAACCTCCCCCTGGCTACCCTCTCCTTTCAGGGAGTTGGAGAGAGCCAGAAGGTCTCCCCTCAGCCTCCTTTTCTCCAGACTCAACACCCCCAGCTCCCTCAGAAGTTCTCCAGACCCTTCTCCTTGTGCTCCAGACCCCTCCCCAGCTCTGTTGCCCTTCTCTGGACACGCTCCAGCCCCTCAAGGTCTTTCCTGTCAGGAGGGGCCCAAAACTGGACCCAGCCCTTGAGGTGGGGCCTCCTCAGTGCTCGGTCCAGGGGGACAGTCACCGCACCAGTCCTGGTGCAGCCCAGGAGGGCCCTGCACCATGCCCTCCACCATTCCATGATTTTAAATCAAATCAACCCAAACCAGCCCAGCAGTAGAAAACTTACAGGCTTTCCAGCGAGCAGAGCAAAGATCCTCAGCCTCTCCTCCTGGATGAAGCAGTCTGCCTGCAGGCTGTGCCAGTCCACCAGCTGCATGGTGAGCAGGTCCCGCACGGGCTGGCTGCCAGCCAGCTGGGACAGCAGCAGAGCCAACCTGTGGTCACCTGGGACAGGGGACAAGAGGACATCAGGCCAATCCCCCCACCTACCCCCTCCGTTTCTGAGTTGGGGAGCACCTGGATCAGCCCCCAGCTGCAACATTGGGTGGTGAGGGCAACTTCTCGTGAAATAAACCACTCCATGAACACCCACCAGGAGGGGAGCAGAGAGGAGAAGACAAAAGGCAGGGGAAGGACAGACACCCCCCAAAGGAAAGAGGAATGAACAAATGGGAAAAATGAACAATTGGGAAAAGTTTTACCATTTGAGCTGACATAAAAGACCGAGATGAAACCAGCCGTTAGGCTCTGAAAATATGTTTTTACAACCAATGTAAGGCTCTTACCAGAAGCTCAATTAAAAATGACAGTAATTAAAAAGCCTTTCAAAGGAGATACTACACCAAAACCCAGTTCCTAATGCAATACAGTACCAGTTCCTAACCCCAGGGGAGCTGACACAAGCCAGTGAGAATAGGAGCAGGTTCCCCAGCAGCCACCCTCACTGACCTGGGGAAATCCATACTCAGAGAGGCCAGTTACGATCAAATCTCTAAATTTAGAGTCATAGAGTTGTCCAGGCCAGAAGAAATGCAATACAGCCCCAGTTCCTAACCCCAGAGGAGCTGACACAAGCCAGTGTGAATAGGACCAGGTTCTCCAGCAGCCACCCTCACTGACCTGGGGGAAGTCCATACTCAGAGAGGCCAGTTACGATCAAAATCTCTAAATTTAGAGTCATAGAATTGCCCAGGCTGGAAGGGACCTCCAAAGGCCATCTAGTCCCACCTCCCCACAGCCAGCAGGGACACCCCCAACTAGACCAGGTTGCCCAGGGCCTCATCAGGCCTCACTAGGCCTCACCTTGAATATCTCCAGGGAAGGGGCCTCAACCACCTCCCTGGGCAACCTGTTCCAGTGCTCCACCACCCTCCCAGTGAAGAACCCCCTCCTCATCTCCAGTCTAAATCTGTTCCCCTCCAGCTTGAAGCCATTGCCCCTCGTCCTGTCACTGCAGGCCTTTCTAAACAGGCTCTAAATTCTCTTTATGTGTCTGTCTGTCTCCCTCCCTCCCTAAAAAAGCTGAGATTTAAGCATCTTACCCGACTGCTGGGCCAGCCTGCAAGCTTCCCCAATCCTCTTCCCAGTGAGGCAGCTGAAGACAGCCTCTACGTGGTTGCCGTGTCGGCACAGAGAGACCTCCTCCTCGATGCGTCCCGCCGCCGTCTCCGACAGCCAGCGAGAGAAGGCCCTCCGCCGCTCCAGGGCCAGGATGTACTCGTTGGGTTCCTCCAAACTGGCCTCCAGCTCCTTCAGGTTCCCCCAAATCGCTTCACATAAAGTCCACGTCAAGCCCCAGTGCTTCACAACAGCTGTGGGGACAGAACATCTCAGTCATAAGGAGTGAGAAAATACAGAATATTTAGAATCACAGAAAGGTTTGGGTAAGGAACTAGATGATTTTTAAGGTCACTTCCAACTCTACCATTCTATGATTCAGTTCCAATCCCCTGCCATGGGCAGGGACATCTCCCACTAGACCAGGCTGCTCAAGGGGCAACCTAAAAGGTGTCCTTCTGTTACAAGTGGATGCAGGAATTCAGCTCCCCAAATGCAGCCACGTTTATGCTTTCAGAAAGAATGCAGAGGCAGTCACTTTTTCACAGAATCACAGAATCTTCTAGGTTGGAAGGGACCTCAAAGATCATCTTGTCCAACCGTCAACCCAACTGACAAAAATAGACACCCACACAACAAACAAGGAGCATCATCACTAAACCAGACCTCCCAGCACTACATCAACCCGTCTTTTGAACACCTCCAGGGACGGGGCCTCCACCACCTCCCTGGGCAGCCCATTCCAAGGGCTGAGAACCCTTTCAGTGAAAAAATGTTTCCTAATATCCAGCCTGAACCTCCCCTGAGGCAACTTGAGGCCATTTCCTCTTGTCCTGTCGCCTGTGACTTGAGAAAAGAGACCGACCCCCACCTCTCTACACCCTCCTTTCAGGGAGTTGTAGAGAGCAATAAGGTCTCCCCTCAGCCTCCTCTTCTCCAGGCTGAAGAACCCCAGCTCCCTCAGCCTCTCCTCACAAGACTTGTGCTCCAGACCCCTCACCATCTTTGTTGCCCTTCTCTGGACCCGCTCCAGCCCCTCAATGTCTTTTTTATGGCAGGGGGCCCAAAACTGGACACAGCACTCGAGGTGAGGCCTCACCAGTGCCCAGTACAGTACCGTTTTATTCACATTTCCCTGCTCTAAAACCTGAAAAATCAAGTCTGAACTGGACAGTTTTCCAGATTCACCATCACTGCTGTGAGAAGAATGGTTCCACACTCACTCTCTGTCACTGCAGGGTCCTCAGAAGCCTTCCTGACCCACTCAGCGTAGTCGTGAATGGCAGAGACCCCCGGGTTGGGTGCCAGCAGGGGACAGTGCTCATCCATGTGGACAGTGCTGTGTTTCAGCTTTATCTCCAGGGGGATGAGGTACAGCTCTTTGTCCCTGTCCACCTTGCGTTGCTCCAAGCTCAGCTTCTCCACGTGAACCTTGAAAGAGGACTCCGAGAGCCTGGAGGAAGAAAAAAAAAGATAAAAGCAACGTTCTGAGTTGTTTTTCCATGGAAAACACCCATCACAGAGCAGCTGCACTCTGCAGCTCAGCTTAAAATTAACACAAAGACAGTAAGATCTATGATCCAAGGTCTACTCCTGGGTCTGAGGAACCTGGTTAATGCCTGAGGCTCAGACCCAGACTTTGGCACATCAACCTCACTGAGCTGGGCACCTCCAGCTCCCAAAAGACAATTAGCATATCTTACCATAACCCAGCCCCTTTTGTGAGCACACCTCCTTCTGCCAGTAAGGCAGAAACGCTGGAGACCAGTGACCAAACAAGCTTTTTGGAAGACTTAAATGGTAGAACATTTAGGTATATTCCAGTCAAATTTAGGTGTGGAGCTTCACAGCCCAGGAAGGGTTTGTATTCTGATTTGTATACAAGTACAATTGTAGGGATCTGAATTCAGAAACTAAACAAGAAGTCATAGAATCATGGAATGGTTTGGGTGGGAAGGGACCTTAAGGCCCACCTAGTCCCATCCAGGGACACTTCCCACCAGAGCAGGTTGCTCCAAGCCCCCTCCAACCTGCCCTTGAACCCCTCCAGGGATGGGGCAGCCACAGCTTCTCGGGGCAACCTGGGCCAGGCTCTCACCACCCTCGTAATGAGAAATTCCTCCCTAATATCTCATCTCAATCTCCCCTCTTTCAACTTAAAACCCTTCCCCCTCCTCCTAGGGCTCCCCTCCCTCATCAAGAGTCCCTCCCCATCTCTCCTGGAACACCTTGAGGGACCGGAAGGGGCTCCAAAGTCTCCCCGGAGCCTTCTCTTCTCCAGGCTGAACCCCAATCCAGTCCCACCCAGGGACACCTCCCACCAGAGCAGGTTGCTCCAAGCCCCCTCCAACCTGCCCTTGAACCCCTCCAGGGATGGGGCAGCCACAGCTTCTCCACACAACCTGGGCCAGGCTCTCACCACCCTCCCACCAAACAAGTTCTTCCCCACAGCTCAGCTCCATCTCCCCTCTTGCAGGGTCAAACCCTGCCCCCTCCTCCTAGGGCTCCCCTCCCTCAGCAAGAGTCCCTCCCCACCTTTCCTGGAGCCCCCCAAACTTTAGGGACTGGAAGGGGCTCCAAGGTCTCCCTGAAGCCCCCTCTTCTCCAGGTTGAACACCCCAACTCTCTCAGCCCCCCCTCCCAGCAGAGGGGCTCCAGCCCTCCCAGCATCTCCGGGGCCTCCTCTGGCCCCATCCAACAGCTCCATGTCCTTCTGATGTGGCTGCCCCATCCCTGGAAGTGTTTAAGGTCAGGCTGGATGGGGCTTTGAGCAACCTGGTCTAGTAGAGATGTCCCTGCCCAGGGCAGGGATCTTGGAACTCCATGGTCTCTTAAGGTCCCTTCTAACTCTAACCATTCTATGATCCTATGATACTGATTTTTGTGAAGTAGCAGCCTGAAGGAAACCTCCACAGCTAACGTGATCTTCCACCACTCCTGCATCTCAGAAGGAATATTAAGCTGAATTTCAAAAAGTTACCAACCTACAACCAGGATTTCTTTCTAACACGAAGAGAGAGAGTGTCAGAACCACCCTGAAGGGGAACAACTACTCACGATTTTGGAGCCACAGGAGTTGGCAGGAATCCATACTCCACAGACTCACACTGAAGCTCTTCTATTTCAGTTGATCCACTCAAGGGATCTCCACAATTGACCAATGTCCAGTTCGGTCCCCAACCAACGCGGAAGGAGCGACCCATGAAGAGGGCCATGTCCATCAGCAGCTTCCCTTTCCTGTAGGTGATGGACTTCTCCAGAGGTACGAGCCCCTGCTGCCTGCGGACCCCGACGGTTTTCATCTGGACCTCAGGGACGGGTGGTGGCACGGAGAAGGCAGATGCCAAGGGAGAAGTGGCCGACCAAAGGGCAAGGGAAGGGGGACTGCCCAAAGTCCTCGGTGCCTTCAAATCTTGCAGAGCAGCACTCGGCGGCTGGAAAATGGCGTTGGCAAATTTGGACTGCAACAGCCCACCAACTAGAGGGAAGAAGTGAGGAGAACGTGTGAGTGAAGGGAGCTCTCACCTTTCAGGCAGGACATTTTCTGCTATTTTAAAGGTTTTTGGGTACTTGAGCAGCCAGTGGAAACATCTGCTGGGTCTGGGGTGGTACCACAGAGCTAAGCACGATGATCTGCAGCGCAAAACACCCTGGGCACAACTTATTCTGCAGCAGCTGAACTAAAGCACGTGGTATTACAGTAAGAACAACACAGTCCCACCCCCAAATCTGCAGTTTCCAAAGAAGCCACTAATTTAACAGGTATTGTCAGAGTTAGACCATCAGAACAGAAGCATCTCACGGAGAAAGCAGACACCAGTTGTGATCAGCAGGATCAGGGCTGAAACTGTGCCCACAGAAACATCTCAGGTGTGCCCATTTAACTCAGGAAGCAGCTCCATGCTTTCATCAAAGGTATTATTCCTACTGAGATCACCAGTTAGAGGATATACTGGGTGTAAATGGCAAGGTTTTGGTAGTGAGGGGCTGCAGGGGTGGGCTCTGTGAGAAGAGGCCAGGGGTTGCCCTGTGCTGGACACAGCTGGTGTCCACCATGGACCCACGACAGGTCACAGCTGGGCCGGAACAATCCTCGCCACCAATACAAACTGGGGGGTGAGGGATTGGAAAGCAGCCCTGAGGAAAGGGACTTGGGGGTGCTGGTGGAGGAGAAGCTGGACATGAGCAGGCAGTGAGCACTTGCAGCCCAGAAGGTCAATCCCATCCTGGGCTGCATCAAAAGAAGTGTTGCCAGCAGGTCCAGAGAGGGGATTCTGCCACTTTGCTCTGCTCTGGTGAGACCTCACCTGGAGTATTGTGTGCAGGTCTGGAGCCCTCAATAGAAGAAGGCCATGGACCTGATGGAGAGGGTCCAGAGGAGGGCCACAAGGATGATCAGGGGGATGGAGCACCTCTGCTCCGAGGACAGGCTGAGGGAGCTGGGGTTGTTCAGCCTGGAGAAGAGGAGGCTCCGGGGAGACCTAATAGCAGCCTTCCAGTACCTGAGGGGGGC